CCTCTTCTTTTTCAACATCAGTCCAACAATTACGCAATCTTTCATAACGCGATTTATGTGCAAGCCAATTAAATGTAGTACAAGATGGAGAATGTGTCAACCCAGTTAAATTTTTATATAAAACTGATAAAAAGAAAAATGCGTGTTCTAAAGTAACTTTTCTGCTACGTGCGTAATTCGGCGTAGCGAGATATAAAATGCTGTAACTTCACTTTCCTACCCTGATGTAAAAAAAACTGTACGCTCTTTACCCTTAACATACTGCTTGCCGAATAAAGTACGAGAGAGAAAATGCTGTAAATTAACTTTTCCTACCCTGATGTAAGGAAAATTGTACGTTCTTTACCCCTAACATACAGCGTGCCGAATAGAGTACAAGATGTAAAATGCTGTAACTTCACTTTCCTACCCTGATGTAAAAAAAACTGTACGCTCTTTACCACTAACATGATGCGTGCCGCATAGAGTACGAGAGAGAAAATGCTGTAAATTAACTTTTCCTACCCTGATGTAAGGAAAATTGGACGTTCTTTACCCCTAACATACAGCGTGCCGAATAGAGTACAAGAGAGAAAATGCTGTAACTTAACTATTCCTACCCTGATGTGAAGAAAACTGTACGCTCTTTACCACTAACATGATGCGTGCCGAATAGAGTACGAGAGAGAAAATGCTGTAACTTAACTTCAATACCGTGTAAGGAAAATTGTACGCTCTCTAACCCTAACATACAGCGTGCCGAATAGAGTACGAGAGAGAAAATGCTGTAACTTAACTTCCCTACCCTGATGTAAAGAAAACTGTATACTCCGGCTCTACCCCTAACATACGGGGTGCCGAAGAGTACGAGAGACAAAATGCTGTAACTTAACTTCCCTACCCTGATGTTGGGAAAACTGTACGCCTTTCACCCCTGACATACAGCGTCCCGAATAGAGTACGAGAGAGAAAGTGCTGTAAATTAACTTTCGTACCGTGATGTAAGGAAAACTGTGCTCTCTCTACCCCTAACATACAGCGTGCCGAATAGAGTACGAGAGAGAAAGTGCTATAACTTAACTTTCCTACCCTGATGTGAGGAAAACTGTACGCTCTTTACCCCTGACATACAGCGTGACGAATAGAGTACGAGAGAGAAAATGCTGTAACTTAACTATTGTTCGGGAATATCCACACATTCAATCAAACACTCGGAACTTGGACTGTATATCTTTATTCCCAGCAACGATCCTCGTTCACTACACCGTACATTCATTAATTCATTCTGCCTAATCATAACAACTCTCTTTTCTTATACACAGTCTTGGCATTTTTGTTATGAGATATCTATGTGTCATATTCTTATCACATCACGCACGTAACATTCAAAAGCAATTAACTTGTCAACTTAATACATTCCTTATCTCTTTAAAAATACACGCGATCAAGGTTTCCATTACTATGTTTAGGGTAAGAGACGTTGTGTTGCGTAACGCGCTATATGTTTCCCAACAACTATTCCTAACCTGATGTAAAGAAAACTGTACGCTGTTTACCCCTAACATGATGCGTGCCGAATAGAGTACGAGAGAGAAAATGCTGTAACTTAACTTTAATACCAGTCATGAAAGGTATTTACGGAAACAGGTAAATGAATAAACAAAACATCTTACTTTAAAGAGTTCAGGTGTTTAATTCTTGCAATCATCTAGGGTCGTCTAATTTTTTTACTTGTTTGAGTGATTTCCGTCATGTCATGAGTTGTCATCGCGTCGACTCAGGAATTTAATAATTTGTCATAATTTATGCGTCCTACTCTTTTTGGTACGGTACTCTATTCGGCACTTTACAATGCCATTTCTATATTAGAATAAAGCTCAAACATCATTTTAAAAACGCTCATTGCGAATTCTATGAAAAATTGTCAATTTTCAACAATTTTTCACGCATGCTGCTCATACAAAGCCTTTGAGTGGAATGCAAAGTTTGTCTGAGTCACCGAGGGTCCAAGGTGAAAAAGCTATTTTTAGTCAGAATAGTGCAAAGCGCTTTTCTATAATCTCAGTTAACCAGTTCATAACTCGATATGACAGTGACGTACACGAAATGTCGACTGCTTGTAGCCACAAAAGACAAGCTCACTCTTTTCTTGAGTATAGGGCTGTATGTAACTGTAATTAAATGATCAATCGTTGATGTACGTGATTGGAAAACAGTGTAAAAAAGCTTTAAAAGATCCAGCAAATGAACTAATTGGCATGAGTGCATGAGTGGCATCCTGTCATGCCCTGTACATTCTGAACAAAGCATTAATTACTAATTTTCATAGATAGAACCACTGGCACAACATTTTAATCATAGCTACATAACTACAAGAACCATCTAGAGATTAGTCTTTGATGAGACACGAATTTCAAAGGTAGAGCTCTGCAGATAGAAGAGGTAAGTTAACCATACCTACAAAATGTGGTACTATACGTTATAATCTGAGCCTTGAGAACTAATCATATTTGCTCTTAGTACAAACCTTGTATTTATACCCAGGAGAAAAAGGAAAATCGCTGGTTAGCAACAGAAGACTTGCAGACGTACCGTCAGTTAGAGCAGAGAAAATGACAGCGGAAGTCAAAAGGGATGATTATGTAAGAAACAATGGCCCATTTTATATATCACATGGCTTTTTTGACAACCGCGGGCCAATTGTAACGAAGGCCTTTTTTCGACAAACGTCAAGTGTTTTTCAACACGGCGACGGTTCCAGCAAACTTTCTCCTGCCTCGTACCCAGACGCGTTCTATAGCAATTATCTTTTTAAGACTTATTTTGTTTATTTCTCGGTGAATATGGGCCAAGAAGCTAAGACGGCTATGGAAGCTATGAAAATAGAGGATACATGCTGTAAAGAAAATATGTTTGATTGTGATGAAGCTCAAAACAAATTTTGGAATAAAAATAATGATGCATGTTAGAAAAATGTTTTGATTTGGTGTGGGGGAAAGACCTCTAGAAAAATAAAATGTCTCAGTAGACAAATTATAAACGAGAACCTACATCATTTGCTGACTTTCAGGAGTTTCAGAGCCAAAATGAAAACAAAAAATGCTTTATATAAACTCTATCTCCAATGTAGCAGATTTGGTTACTCTTTTAATTTATTACAGTTAAAATTCGCCCTCACTGTCATTCTTAAGGTAAAAGTTCTTTTGAATTCTACACTTGTAAACAAGACGAAAAGGGCTAATTAACTGATGATTATAAATAATGCTACCATTTTGAAAAATACAGATTTTTTTTCAGGCTGTTACTCTTGCTTTTTGTACGCCAGATAATAGCCTTTGTTCAGCCTAAAGAAATTATTTAGATTTTGAGTCAATGTTCACTTCAAGTACTGGAATCTTCTCCATTTGACCCCCTATACACTTGTCTTTGTCACTGGTGGAGATATGTTGATAAAGATAAATTCCTCTGAGGTCATCATATCCTTTATTGTAACAGCGGAGCCCATCTTCTATTACCCTTCCCTCTTTCTGTACCCACCTCTTGAAAGAAAAACTTGCCTTTTATAGCTATATTTCCATGATCCACCCATTTAGGATCTTGACTGTATCTGCACAGGGTTGCCTTAGTTAAGCACACAAAAAAGTGGCATGGAATGCGATGGACCTCATGTTTCACAAGCTTGTGAGCCTTAAATAGAAAATTTGCTTACGGACTAGTCCAACTTCTAGCATACAGTGACTTAAAGATGTTCTTAGCGAGACGGGGGGGGAGTGATGAGCAGAATCTGTATTCGTGGGCAACTTCAGCACTTGCAGAATAAACATAAAAACGGAACCCTTCAGTTTTCTTTATGCAGTATTTTAAAACCGGGTAGTCACGAAAGTATAAAAATTATTAGGTTTTTAGAAAGAAAGGCTCCTTTGGTTTATAGTAAGGTCATATAGGATATTACATGGCCGTGCGGAGATACGAAATTTCTGTTCGAGCGTTGAAAAATATTTCATGAGTGAGCGCAGCGAACGAGTGAAATATTTTTTCAACACGAGAAGAGAAATTTCGTATCCTATATTTATGATATAAATACCAATGAAATACCAAAACATTTCACTTTAATATTTTTTGGTGGGAAAGGCAGGATTTATTATGTAGCCATAGCAACGGTGATATTTTCACCCGTGAAGATAACATGTTATTTTCACATGTGAAGATATCAAGTTTGGGCGCGAAAGCTCACCTGGTATTTCATTGGTGTTTATATAGTAAAGTAATAGCGGAGCTCTGGCGCGCCTACGGAGCACCATGGGTAAGTAAATCTACCCATCCCAGAAAATTTGGTAATCACGTGACCGTACACCGCCCGCCCGCCCGTCCGTCCGCACCACAGGGCAACCAATGTTCAATCTCACACTTTCTAGCTAGTTTGGGAGCACAGGAAGACTGATCTTACGCACATTGCTCATCAATGTTGTGATCAATTGACAGCTGTCAAAACAGGGTATCTGCTGACCAGTATCACCTGACCGTATCGCGGGCTCAGGTGTCGACCCATCGAGGTCGAGTATCTTTTTGAAGTTATCCGCTGACAAGTTACTAGTTCTCAAATGATTGCAGGCTCAAGTTAATTTTTTTTAATTCATATGAAATTTGTTGTGTTTTATATGTGCCGTAGAATTAGAAACAAGAAGGGGACTGGAGAGGAAATATGTGTCCCGTAATTTTTTAGGATCTTTACTGGAGACGAGCCGGTCTACTGCTGGCCATTTTTTTCCCTGTTCTTAGTAACAGCTCCAGAAGTCTTTGTACAGTTAGCTCGACCCAATTTCTTTTTCCTTTCTTAACTGATGAATTCTGAAGAAGTTCTTTTGATTACCTTGTCCTTCTGGCCCAAAGTTAGTTGCCAAAAACGGATTTTTTTTTCTTTTTTTTTATACTCAGGCAAAATAACTTTCAAGAAAAAGACTCTGATTCCACACGTATATGTATATTACCTGGTATTTCAAAAGGACTCAGAAAACTACAGCATGGAAATTGACGAATTTGGCGACGACACCGATGTATTTGTGAAGGTAAGTGAACGCTATCTAAAATAATTGACAGAAAATTTTAAAACATGTGTCTCAGATTATAAATATCCAGATTACAAAGAAATGGTGATTGTAGGGCTCCCTTCTTGTAGCCCTTTATCTCACAACCACTAGAAATACGTTAATCGCAGAAACTCGTAAAGCTCAGGGGAGGGGAGGGTGGCCCCTAAAACGTGAAGGGTCTGCAATTAGAAAAATTTTTATGTCAGATTACGGTTCTCAGATGATGCTTCACTTTCCAGCATCTGCTCGCAGCAACACTTTGCCGACAACTTGTTACCACTTATTCTAGAATTCCAATTCTCAAACTCATTAATCGTTCATAAAGGAAATACAAATTAAGGAAATTTGAAATCAGTTAATGAGTGTTTAGAAATCAGATGAAAAACTGCTCTCTTTTGAATCCTTAATTTGTCGTTCTAGAATCATTTTGTTTGAGAAGTAATATCAAGTATTCGACACAGCGTTTCATCAACTGTTAAAACACCTCGAAGTTCGTTAAAAATGCTCCGCTGCGCGTTGTATTTTTAACTCTCTTCACTGTGTTTCATCTGGTGATGAAACAGTGCGTCTCATGCTTGATGTATTACATAACTGTGTATTTGGATATTTTATCTCAACAGCGTATGAAGCCAGACAAGCCTCCAAATCCTTCTATAACATTCATCCCCCAGACAATATCCAATGGACCTTTCTCCGCTCTGCTTGCTGTGAAGCCAGCCTGGACCAGTGGTGAAATAGAAAGATACGTCAATAATAAGTCCTGTGAGAAAAAGTACCTTTGTTCAAGGTGCGATGGGACTTTGGCGTTGAAGTCAAACAATACAGATGACAAGGGCTTGCCCCTTAATCCCCATCCAGATATATTCTTTCTTGAAATAGATGCCTAGAAACTGCATTCTAAGGAATTTTTCTCCAGTTCAATCGAGTTAAGAATGAATAAATAGAGAAAATAAACTCACTTAAGGTAATTCCCCTGTAAAGGTAGTACTATCCATACTTTTTTAGCAAAAATTAAAGATGTATAGGACATTTAAAACTGCAATAAAAAGATGGAGTCACCACGTTTAAGACTGTGTTCGCCATGTGTGCCCGATATTCTATTTTTTGCACGCGAGATGTTCGAAACTTTAACTACCTTCGAAAATTTTTAAAGCAAAAACCATGAATGTTACTGGACCAGTGGCAAAGAAGAGAAATACGTAAAATTTCTTTAAAAAAATCAATTGAGAAAAAGTAACTTACTACAAGGAGCTAAAACACTTTTTTGTATTGTAATTATAAATTGACTGTCTTGAAAAAAATGTAGAAAAATTAGACCGAATGGTCATCATCTCATACTTCCCCGTTAGCTCCAAATTTTTTTCATGATTTGAAAACAACGTAATTTTTAAAGAATTTTTTTCTTTAAACGTTCAAATTTACTGCCATTTTAGCACTCAATTAGTTTGTTTTAGTTCGTCTCTAGGAAGCCTCTCGCAAAAAAGGAGCTGTGACGTATAAGTTTAAGGAACTACAGTCAACTCCCGCTATAACGGACACCCCGATAGAGCGGACAGTAGCTAAATCCCCGAGAAAAACAAATTACAGATGTTTGACTGAAATAAACTCCCGCCATAAAGGACACCCCGGTAAAGCGGACAGTAGCTAAATCCCCGGGAAAAACAAATTACAGATGTTTGACTGAAATAAACTCCCGCTATAACGGACACCCCGATAGAGCGTACAGTAGCTAAATCCCCGGGAAAAACAAATTACAGATGTTTCACTGAAATAAACTCCCGCTATAACGGACACCCCGAAAGAGCGGACAGTAGCTAAATCCCCGGGAAAAAGAAATTACAGATGTTTTACTGAAATAAACTCCCGCTATAAAGGACACCCCGGTAAAGCGGACAGTAGCTAAATCCCCGGGAAAAACAAACTACAGATGTTTGACTGAAATAAACTCCCGCTA